GTTGTATACTTGCACACTCGCGTGAAAGATGAAAGAAAAAGGAAAGGGAACATGTATACTTGCACACTCGCGTGTACACGCTCCTCACGCACACGCACATGAAACGCGAAGGCTATCGAACTGAATTCGAACGATTATTCGTAAGGTGCAAACACATTTTCTTATCGATTCGTTGAATTCTATGGTTGGGCCATGCCTTGCCGATAAAATCGGATCCGACAATTTCTCTTGACGCTACTTGATTATACGCGCCGATTTGCACTCCTTTTTTAACACTTTGCTCAGTGTTGAGAGCATACTGACAGTTATCTCAGTTTTATAGCATGCACGTGTCTCATATGACTTTCTCGCAATAACAAATATCTCTTTAACCCATTTCTGCCGAAATTTCTTTTCTTTTTTTGGTAATTTTTTACTTGCGCAGAGATGAAACAACGTGCTTTTGTTTTCGAAGTCAAGTTTCAAAAGGAGGCACTTCGCCGTTGCAAATAGCTTATTGTTGAAGTTGCTTTATCACTGCAGTAGCTGTTTAACGAATATAAAAAGACAGAGTTTTTATAAATTTATCGAAACCCGACAGCAAAGTGTTAATAATGACGTGTCTACATCAGCTGGTTCCAACCTTTCCTAACCTAACCTAACCTAAATCTTTCTTCTCTCTCTCTCTTGATTAATCTTTTCATTTGACGAGTAAATCCCCTGAAAAAAACTTTCATACAGGTCTCTCTTTATAAATCAAAACTCTACAACTTTGTTTCTGTTTTAACTTTTTCCTTTTTTTTTTTTTTTTTTTACTAACATTATTACGAATTATGCGAACCGCTGCTCTAGACGAAAACTCTTTCGGTGTTGGAAAACTGGCAGAAATTGGAGGGATCCGAGCGCGATTTGAAAATCGTGATGTTTTGATCACTGAAAGTCTTCAAAGAACTCTGCGTCTGGTCGTGAGAATACCCAAGTATATTTTGTGTATTGCGAGAGAAAGGATGTTCGATCATGCGAGTTGTTTTGTACGTAATATGTCGAGGAGTACGAAGGGTGCTGAGTAACGAAGATTAAAGGTACTATTTACAATGAGCGAAAATGGGTACGTGAGCAAATTGATAATTGATAGTTCGTGTTCAAACGATGAAAGAGTGCAAGGCGTTGCTGCACAACGTTTCTTCGAAACTGGCGTATTGGCTGGATTTTTAATCTTAAGGAAATACTACTAACGAGGATTCAGAGCCTGAACGAAAACGGACGAAAACAGACGAAAACGAACGAACGCGTTGTGCGTCGATGTCACGTTGTACCAGAATGTCGATGCCCCCTTTGTTTCAACAAAAAGAATTCGCTTACTTCCGTTCGAGTGGAAGATGATCACCTTTCGTTCAAATCGCACGTCGAAATTCAACGCTGCCTGTGATATCGAAAGCAATCGTATTCTCGCGACGATGAATCATTCCAAACATTTCAGTGAGTGACTGCGTGATCCACAGAAAGAGAGAGAGAGAGAGTAATTGTTGCGTGTTTGCATGTTTATGAGAAGTTTTATCAACACTGACGCGACGTGACATCGACCAAAAAAAAAAAAAAAAAAAAAAATTGTCAAATCCTCTGAATCCTATGCCGATAGCACACTTTACGAGCATTGAAAAGAAAGAGAGAAAAAAAAATATCTCAAAGGTTACGTGCACTCGCTCGAGCTGATCCTGGTCGGCGAAAAAATATTTCTTTCGAATTTCGAGGGTAGGGGGTGCGAGTCGTCGAGGAAAGCGCGACGTTATAGCAACAACCGAAACAAGCAGAATCCACCGAAACAAGCAGAATCCACCGAAACTCTTCGACGTCTGTTCCCACCAGCAAGATGTTGATTTTGCCGAGCTTACAGATACCGAGCGAATATTAAATGTCTTGTTAAAGAGAAAAAAAAAGAAAAAAAAAAGAAGAAAACCAAAAGAGAGTAGAAAAATGTGTCGAGAGATATAGAAACCCAGACAAACAAACCTAACCTAAACCCATCACTCGTTCCTTCCTTCCCTCTTCTTTCAGAATGAAGTGTATAAGGTCTTTCAGCCTTGGTCCAAGTTCACCGAGAATCTAAAGCGAGAAAACACAGATTAGTAAAATTTCAGAACATTGCACGTACATACATATATATATATAGATACGCGTCGTTGACGATCGAATGGTTGCTCGAAATTCACACGTTGGCCGCGCAATCGTTCTTTCGTTGGCCCGGTTTCACGTTTGAAAATGGAACTATCGCAAGAAGAGTAATATCTATCCAGACGAGAACAACAACAAGTTAGAAAAGTCAGATGAAAATTGCAGGTGATAAATCTTTTCCTTACGAGTGACGATAATTCTTTCTTTCTCTCTCGCGAGGAGCAGCAACCGTTCGATTGCGAAATCGTTACATGAACGCAGCGCGTGCAAACGCGGAAGAATCTCAATACGTATGTACGTAAACATGCGTCGTGTGAAACAATTCTTCTTCGAAACTGTAAATCCATGGCAGTAAGAACAGGGGAGGTTAGGTTCAGTTTGTTTATAACACAGCAGTTCCCAGTTAAGCGGGTCCCACAGGGACGAAAGCAAACACTTGACACATTATTGACCGGATATGACGTCTTCTGATAATTGACTGGATATCGTACAATTTTTATTGTCATCTAAGCGATATTTGAATTTGAAATTCGCGAAATTCTCAGCTTGTGGAAAGACGTTATTCAAGTGAGTTCTACCTTCAAATTTCTTTCACTCGTGTCATTTGCCTCGCGCATTTTATCGATCATTAAATTTTTCAAAAACGGCGCATCGCGAAATTTTCTATCCAAGGTGAAGTTCCCGCTGAATTTTCTGATGATAATTTTTCAGAATATAGTTCTGACCCGGTATCAATACAAGGCCAACAAAAAGACAGAAAACCTTTGCGATTGATAGTGATTTTGAAAATGATGACATTCATGAGACTGGAGAAAAGTCTTCTTTTTTTCATAGAAGACTGGATTGAAAGCAACATTTTACGAAACTTAGAAAACTTTGCAAAAGTGCCTGGTATAACCGTTGAATGTAATAACCTATGAAGTGTTAGTGAAGTAGCAAAATTAATTCTTGGAAACGGCTTACTTCGCAAACGAACCTGTCGTATCACAGACTGAAAAGTCATAAAAAATTATGATAAGACTTTAAAATGGACTGACGTCACTGATAGTGATGTGAGAAAGTTTCTCGGATTAATAATATAAATCTAACAATATTAACTATTATATTAATTATTAACAGTTATATTAACTATATTAATTATTATTAGTTTATTAACTATAACAATAACTTTAATAATAATTATATTAGTTAATATAATATGTTAATATATTATTAATTATATTGATATAAGTAGTAATAAATTATTAATTTAATATAATTAGTAACTAATTATATTAAATAATATTATATTGTTAATTATATTAATTTAATATAATTAGTAATAAATTATTAATATAATGTGTTAATATACTAATTATTATAATTAGTTTCTTGCTATACGGCCTATCATTCTCTTAAAAAATATTAAAATACCTTCATGCACAAAGTTGTTTGTATTTAATCATACGCGGATTCTTTCTTTGTCACTTTTGGGGAAAATCGCCGGCCACACGCGTCAGTTTCTACAAAAAAATCCTCGGTCAATAATGTGTTAAGCGACGAGAAAAAAGAGGGGATGAACATCAATTGTTTCACCAGTCCAGGCAGCAATATCGGTATTATATGTATATATATATATATATTGCTTGTTTTGCATGTCGAGTATCATATTTCACGGGGCTGCATGGTAGAGTGAGGATAGTCCCGATTCCAAGAATTGGTGGGGACAGACCCTTAACCGGGGACTAACTGTAACAAGAACAAAGAAGGATGGATCCAGAACAAATGCAACCCGGTTTCAACGAGCATCGAGAGAGCGAGACGGAACGAAAACGAGGAAAAGATCACATCACAGCGCGTCGTGTCGTCGGCTACCGGGCACGCGACGGGAATGCGATGGGTTTGGTACGAAAGCACGGAATAAGAGGATGAAATGTCAGCGCGACTCAAGAGCCGAGAAAGAGCAAACGCATCCTATTAACGGTTCAGAGACCGTATTGTTTGCCCGCGTGCCCTTAAAAGAGCGAGATCACATCGATCGTAACGACGTTGGCCTTTGAATCGCGTGGCAAACGGATGGCGATAAATTCAGCCGCGCTCGACAGAAAGAAAAAAAAAAAAAAAAATAATCGCGAACAAACGTACATGTCCCTTGCCAGCAATTCATCGAGAACGTCCAGCGCCAACAGATATACGCAATTTGCACCTTCCGTGGGATTTCTCTCCGTCTCCTCCTTCAGCATCACCGCTGTTCGATAAGAGAAACTTGTTTAGATTGAGACCGGGAAAGACTTTATTTATCCTTACCTTTGTTAACGATTTTACGATCGATACGTAGCTTTGTGTGATCTTTTTGTCTCTGGCCCTTTTCATCCTTGCACTCTCTCGTTGAGAGTATTTATCATAGCTGAAGGTGAAGATTTATAAATCAAATCATAGAGAGAATTGAACAAAATTCTGAAATCATAACTGTTTTTTTTTTTTTTTTAAAGATGCAAAATCTTTTTTTTTGTAAGATAAAGCGAATTTAAAACGTTGAAAAATGTTAAAATATGAAGACATGGTACGAGAAGAAATACAGACCCTTTTCAGAGCAGAGATGAAGAACAATTAAAGAGAAAGGAGATGTTATATCAAAGATGTTCGCAGCGGGGCACAATGGAAGTTGTAACGAAGAGAAGAAAAATACGACAGCCAAATTGAAGATTGGTTTAAATCTCTAACAAAAGAGATTCGTGATCAGCACGATCCCCTGCGACAACCTCACAGTCTCAGGAGGGGAAAAAAGTATCGTCCTTGCTAGTAATCGGGTATATAAAAGCTGACAGAGCGAAGGAGTGAAGTAAACGTCAAGTTGCTTCTGAAATCCAGCGATATCGCCGCGAGTGTCTCTGCGAGGGGGATGCTATTCAAAGTGTCGTGATCAATGTGATTGATCTATGACAATGACCGCTCGGAAAATTGTGCCTCGATCACTGGTATGTTTCATCAGTTCGATTCAGAGTAAAACCATTGGCAAATAATTAATTTAACACGTTCCGTGCCATGTGTACCACCGGTGGTACACGTTAAACT